TAGCATCTAGCATGCACAAGGCCCTGGGTTCCATCCTCAGAACTGGCAAACAAACAAACAATGCACAATGAAAAAACATCATCACAGCATTGTAAGAAATAGCTGACAATCATGTCATTATGTAGAAATTCAAATCTTTGTATTCTATGTAAGTGATACACACTAATTACAAAAAAGTACCTCCAACAGTCCTATCCACTGAACGTAGATGGCATATTATTAGAATCTATTTTAATGAGCACGTGTTTTCTGGCTTGAGGTATTCTCTGTGAGGACTTCTTTATTTTTGGCTGTGATACTCAAAATATCTGTGAGTCATCACGAACTTTCAGCATGGTACAAATTAGTTTGGAAATCAAGACTGACATGATTATTTTGTTGCAACAGTGGTTTGTAATGAAAAGGAGGAGTCATGGAATTGAGAAATACTTTTTAATAATTTAGATATAGTTCATTCAACACGTATTCATGGAGACCTATTAGTTACCCACAGGTAAGTGCTGCAATACGAAGCAGTATTTTTTTTACTGACATCTTTGGCTAAGGTATTCCTGGGATACTTTCATTACTGACATCTTTGGCTAAGGTATTCCTGGGATACTTTCATTACTGACATCTTTGGCTAAGGTATTCCTGGGATATTTTCATGTATCTCTCTGGTTCAAACTCTAGGGGTGGGACTGTCATTAATTGGAGTGCCCAAGAGTTTCAGGGAGTTGTTGGGGAGAGGCAGAGTTAATTTCCTCCATCACTGCCTCCTAGGTAGATGGTAGGTAATTGACCATGCTAAATACACAATGGATGCTCTGAAGATGACCAGGGAAAAGGTCAGAATAGTCACTGCTTCACTCTAAATGGGAAAAGAGTATTGGAACAGAAGATGGGAGTGGATAAACTATGACATATAGTTATAGAGATAAAAACAGAGCAAGAGAGAGAGGCAAATGGGGGGAATGACATCCATACTTTCTTGGTAAAAATATTCTATGACAGATGGTCTGTTTTATTTTCAAGTGGGTTGACCTGACATCCTGTTCACTTTCACTTTAAACTTGGGATGAGTACATTCCAACCAAAAGAAAAAGTAAGAGGGAAAAAAAGCAATGTGAAATTGTCATCGTTGTAGGTGGAAAGCGACACTGAATCAAGGGGAGGAAAGAGCACCCAGGTGGGAGGAGGAGAGTCTGTGAATGTGAGCAGACCCAAGAAGCAACCCAGCAAAAGACATCAGATCCACCAGATCTCAGAGTCATCCGTGGAGTGCTTCTCTCTGATCTCTCCAAACCATCAAAGTCAAGGTCATTCACTCCCATGGTATTCTAGCATGAGAGGTATTGTACAAGTGAAAGGAAAAATGGAAAAGCAGGGTCCAGAGATGGAGGAGAAAGGATGATAGATTAGGAAAAGTGGTGAGGGAGGAGGTGAGATGGGAGATGTGAGCAGAAAACTGTTGAAAAAAGAATGGGGAGCATTCAAGGCAGAAAGAACAGCAAACCCCAAGTTCCAATAAAGTACGAGTAAAACACTCATACTTCATTCTATAATAGTGTGGTAAAAACAGAAAAAAACCCAGTGGTACAATTGAGAAAGACTGAATAAATCCAAAATTTACCCCTTACCAGATTAGTTTCTGTAGAAGTAAATACAGTCTGAACAATTTCTGAAAATGCTCCAGAATCAAATATAAACAATTCGATGTGAGTAGCTGATGGAACCCTCTGTTCATCAGGGTATAGACAGCCCCACAATCCAGTAGACAGGTAAGTAATTAGAACCTGAGAGCCTCAATCACATTCTCAGGGGTGCTGGAAAAGTTTTTCAACCAGGGTCTCTCTCAAAAACCCACCCATCTTCAGTCTGACCCTCCTAAAGTGAAGTCTTTGTCATTTATCTCTTTTAAAAAGCCTTCAGGATTCCCTTAAGTGTCATCCACTTAGCTCAAACTACTTGACTTGGCTGAGGCCTGAGTTTTCACCCTGGTTACCTTCCTGAATCAGTTCACATTCAAAATGACTCCCTTTCCCCATCAGCTTAGAGGTGTCATATTTGAACATATCATTTACATGTGGCTTAACCTTTGGTGCTTTTGGGGGTTTTACCTCTAAATTGAAGGTAAAAGCATGAATAGTTCCCGTTTATCTCAGTGTCTATGAGCAATGTATGAGGGTTACCTCTTAAAGTGTTTTCTATACACAAGAGCTTCCTCCTCTCATACACACATGTGCAAAGTGATATATAGCCCAAGGCCACTGGCCCCAAAACCTAAGTGTGGAGTCACTACTGATGAGGTCGAGCTCCCCGTGTGGGAAAGAAGGAAAATAAGGGATTCAATTATTACTTCTTGTAAAACCTTGTTTGAAATTCTCACCCAGATGTCCCAACAACCTCCACCCACATTCCTCTATCTGGTCACAGGCACAGTAGAATGACCTCCTCCCACCATTCTTCATTAAGCAGGACTGAAGACACGGAAATAAGGTTGAATTTGCTCAAATCAAGGAAAATATAGACAAGACTCGGCATGCGCCTAGGAATGAGTAGGGGACTTGATCTTTCAGTGGGGCCCATGGAGAGAATGGCTTCAGACTTAATTACGTCTTTACAATTCTTGTCCAACTGGTCTGCCCAAGTTACACAGACTGACAAGGAGGTGAGCCAGCAGGCAGTCCTACTTAGAAACCAGGGTGACTCTAAGATGGAGAGAAAGCCTACAAGGGACGTATGTACATTTCACACACTAAGCATTTTTGTGATTCCTATGGCAAATGTCCCTGTCACCTCCCTTCTTAAACCACTCATGCCAGCGGTTGCATCCATCATTAGGCTGAAGGAGGCTAAAGGAGGTTACTTAGATGTTCCCGGAGTTTAAATGACATATGCCTTTAATGTAAACCTTGCTCTTTCTGGATTTTTCCTTCATATGTAGTACTGGACTGAATTAGATATCATCAGAGGGCTTCTCTAACTTCAATACTCTGAAGGTGACCATTAAAAATTAGATGAGGCCTGAAGAGAAATGAAATTTGAACAGTGGAGGCTGGGGAAGCTGATTGACCTATATAATTCTGTTGTCAGTCTGAAAGCAACAAACTCCATATTCTAGTTCTTGATTTCTCTGAATTCCATAAGCTCCTCCTGCCCAGGAGTTAAGAACAGTAGAGACTTAATATACATCTTCCCACCATGACCTCTTCCCCCTTGTGTCCTAAGAAGAATTAGTATAAGTTCTTGGTTTAACTCTTAATTGCTAGCAGCAGACATAAAAAGTTTTGTGTAGGGCTCTTTGAACCAATTAGCATTTATAATTCTAAAAAATTCTTATTTTTTCCAGAAGAAAACCCAAACCTATCACTGTGTTAGATAAGTTGAGTTTCTAGAAGGAAATGTGGATTTTACATCTGCCACAGGCTTACTGCTCCATCTATTAGGTGTAGATAAATTAAGAAATTAAGAGAGCTCATCATAAAAGAAGGCTCTTATAGTTGATAGTATGCCATTTCTACAAACATAGAAGATAAAGTGATGAAATTGGCATGCTAAAACCAGTTCAGGGAATAGGAATGGCTAGGAATTATTAAATGTAAAATCTGGAGTATTCATTTTTAAGATTAAATCTTTTCATGAACTATTCAGAATGTTCTGTAAATTCTTGAATGGGGAAACAGAATGTTAAACTAGATTCAGGTGAGATAATACACTCACAGGAGATCAAAGATAAGAATAGTTATAAATAGACCAGGGTGGGGCAGGGAGGAAAGGTGATACTTGCTATACTTAGAAGATTTGGCTGCCTGCAGTCAGCTCTATTTTTCCCAAGAGGAGGAAATGGCAGGTGTTTCTGGGTCCCAAACTGGAAAGGGAGCCTGAAGAGTGGGGCTGGAATAGCATTCCAGCTCAGAGCCTACAGAAGCAGGCTGAGCCAGGTGGAACACACACCAATTGATGTAGGACTTAAGGTCCAAAGGAGACCAAGGCAGCAACTCAAACCTGGGCAGAGAAAGAGATAATACTGTTGTACATGCTTTTGAGTTTGATCCTTTCATGTCATTTTTATGTACAGGGAAAAGGCAAAGACTTGCCAACGACAAAACTGACTGCGAGACTGGCTTTTGGAACAGGGATAGTAAGAAAAATCTAATTCTCTCCATTCCTGAGAAGGGCTGAGAGTGCTGTGGTGCTGAAAGTCTTTCTCAGGCACAGCTGAGCACCAGCCAGAGACTCAGCCTAATCTCAGCAGGAAAGGGGGTTCCTGGGCATTTGTTGTTCAGGTAAAATTGATCTTCACTTCAAATTTTTTTGTTTCATTGAGAACACAGTTTATATATTACCCAGAGTAATATATAAAATTATACTTGGGGATCTATATGAATTTATTCACCAAGACACTAAATATGAAAAATCTAGATCCAAGCAAGAAAAATTTGCCAAATAAAGCTGTTTATTACAATTGAGACTCGTGTTATTGGGTAAAAGTGCTATGCTGTATACAGACCTTTTCATTTTCACTCCATGTTCAATTGGCCTGTTGATATAGGTTATTATAATCTCAATTTTAGCACTGGCAACCCATTCAGGACTAAATGATTTGTCCAAGGCTGCTATTATCCAATTTTAGACAATACCCCATCTCCCATCATGGATTCAGTACCCTTGGATTCCTCACATGGGTGTGAGGTCAGTAATAACCCAAGAAGACAAACAGGTGTTAGCAGTCCAAGTACCTGCATGTTCCCCCAGGAGGTAAGAGATAGATGAGGTGAATTGGGGCACAGCTATACTCTGTTGCTGACTACAGTCTCCATCCACTTTATTTTAAATAAGCCTTGGACAAATCATGTGTCTGAGCTGCTACATCTGTAAAGTATATTAACCTGTTCTAGTATTAGTTTCAGAATTGAATAAAAGCACAGTAAAAACAACTTTATAAATCTTAAACAAAAATGAGTACTCAACAACAAAATTTATCTGAAAGAAGAAGTGGTAGTGAACTATCATTTGAGCACTTGCTACTCTGCAGAAACTTGGCTTTTATCCTAAAAGGCAAAGAGATCACTATCTCCAGTAAAACGGGAAACAGGCCAGAGGATTAACTAGTAAAATCCTTTAAATCAGTGTTAGAGCCAAGATTCCAACGCAGAACTTCTGACTAGTACTGGGTCAGATGCTGTGGGATTCAAAAGGCTCTGTGTTTCTAAAACATATTAACAAAACTAGACAACTTTTTCCAATTTAAGAGGCACTTATTTTAATAAGTCATTATGATTTACCACAAGCTGTTAAGGAGGTTAAAACAGTACACAATGAAATGTATAAACAATTTTCACTGGAATGTTTCAGTTCCATTTTTATAAGCTCAGTCAGTTTGTAAAGAGGTGAGCAATTCCTAGGGGAAAGGAGAGTTGGAGTTAGATATTATATGTTGCATGAGCCCAAAGCAAAGATCAAGGAGGTTAAACTAGGCAGAAGTCAGCAGAGATTACAAGGGGACCTAGGTTTTAAGGGTAATGCAAACCCTCATAACATCCTACCCCACCCCACCATGTGGAAGTCCACTAAAAGCTAATTTTTTGATTGTTATTACATGCATGTTTCACCTTGTTCAAGCTGTAGTTCTTTTTTAAAAAAATATTTTTATTTCATTAAATTTTTTTTTTCATTATCAGGGATTGAACCTGGGGGCACTCAAACACTGAGCCACTTTCTCAGGGTTTTTTTTTTTTTTTTTTTTTTTAATTTTCTTAGAGACAAGGTCTTGCTGAGTTGCTTAGGGCCTCATGACTTGCTGAAGCTGGCTTTGAACTCTCGATCCTCCTGCCTCAACCTCCCAAGCTGCTGGGATTTCAGGTGTGCTTCACTGTGCCCAGCTCAACCTGTAGTTCTTTAAACCAGAGTCTAAGGACAATAGAGCCAACAGACAATAGCTTGAAACATAACAGCAACATTCACCAAAAACAAGAATCCCTTTAAATAAACAGTAACTACTTTCACTGAACAGGATTTTTTTCAAAAGGACATTTCTTTAACCACATTTCACAATCCATTAGAAAGAGACTTCCCAGCTTTCCTCAGCATACCTGTTCATCGTAGGCTTCATTGACAAAAATCTCACTATTCATTAGATTTTCTTCTTCCTGGTCATTTTCTTTATTATAGGTCAAATTTCTTGATGATGCTGTGCTAGTTCTAGAAATCAAAAAAGCAAAGTTAAAAGAACTGTTCCTTGAGATAGAAGCTAAGATTGGGGTATGATTAGAAAAGGCCAGCTTATCCCCTATCAAAGATCGTTGCTATAGAAACTATGCCTTATTTTAATCTAATGCCCACTTAAAAGTAAATGATCAGGAATGTACAATACTTCAATTATTCTTTGTTACAGGCATGCACTTAGCTTCAAAAATGGCATCTCTGCTCAACTGAGAGAAGCCACGTGATTGAAGTCAACCAGAACTGGATCCAAGGACAGGCACATGGTAGGTGGACAACAGTGAATGAGAAAGCAGGTGAACACAGCAGAAAGACCTGAGGTGACAATCAAAAGCCCAAGGGTTACATCTCAGGACGGTGATGTTAACCAGTTAGCCATTAACCAGTGATGCTTTGGGCAATGGCCTTTTCCTCTCAATCTGCACAAGGAAGGCAGGACAGAGAGGTAGCTTTTAAAGCTTCCTTCATCTTCACACTTCTTCATCTGTACGTCTTTTTTTTTAATATTTAGTTTTTAGCTGTAGTTGGCCACAAGACCTTTATTTTATTTATTTATTTTTATTTGGTGCTGAGGATCGAACCCAGAGCCTCGCACGTGTGAGGTGAGTGCTCTACCGCTTGAGCCACATCCCCAGCCCCACTCTGTATGTTCTTTAGTGTCTCTTTCTCAATGTGTTTAGTCAGTGTCTTCCATCACATCTTTTCTACTCTTACTTTTTTTGAAACCTCATTTTTTATTCCTGCTGTATCTTCAGTGTCTGTCTTGCTTTGGGCCCAAACTTAGCACTGTGCTTTAAATAATTCCTGAGTTTATTTCACCTCTAGTTATGGACTAAATGGTGATTCCCATGTGCCTAGCATCCATATGTTGAAGTCCTAACTTCAAATAACCCAGAATATGACTGTGGGGTCTTTAAGGAGTTAATTAAGTTAAATAAGACCATGAGGGTGAACCCTAATCCAGTATGACAGATGTCTTTATAAGAAAAAGAGATTAGGACACAAACACACTGAGGGGAAGACATGAGAAGACACAGGGAGGAACTGGTCATCCATCTGCCAGAAGAAAAGCCACAGAAGAACCACTCCTGCTGACACCTTGATCTTGGGACTTCCAGCCTCCAGAACGATGAGAAATTAAATTTCTGCTGTTTATGATACCCAGTCTCCGGTATTGTGTTATGGCAGCCCTAGCAAACTAGAACACCTCCTAACAAATATTACCTCCAATCACTGGCACTGACCTTATTGCCTCACTGAAGGGGAATTTTCTCACTTAATTTCTCAGACTCTGCCACTGACCATGGTTAAGACAGATTTTTACCTGCATAAATACCTCAGACCTCATACAGTAGTGCTTACCTCAGGTCTCAAAGACATGGTCCCAATTATTGTTTCTCCAGGGTATCTAATAGGTAAGGCTGCTTTACCACCCTAAGTCCTTCCTTAAAAGACAGATTTCTAGCGTGGACTTACGTCTTCAACTCCATTAATATCAGAAGCTAATACAATTCTTCCATGGAAACACGAGCTGATACTTACCATTTTAATTTGTGCTCTCTTCTGAAATGTAGAAATGCCCCCAGCGCTACCAGAACAACTGATAAGGCAGTGGTTACGCTGAATGCTATGTAGCCAGGGGTGGGTCCGTGTACTGCCTCCTCGCAGAACTCTCCACCATATTCCCTCAGACAGCTGCATTTTCTCAACTTTCCTTCTGTTGTACAGATTCCCCTCCCATTACAGAAATCACGGCTGCAGGGCACATGTTTTGCCTTCTGAGAGTCCTCGGGCTGAACAGAAGCCCCTCTTTCCTTAGTTTCCGGGGTCTTGCTCTCTCTGGCAGGCATCAGAGTGGTTAGTGGGTTTGTGACAGGATCCCTCATTCTTTCTGGGCCTGGATGTCCAGGTGTGGTGGATTTGGTAGCCTGGGGAGGTCAGGAAGCTTTTGGAGTCAACCTTTTGCCTGCTTCTGACTTTGTAGGTGTTGATGTTGAATGAGCTTTACCTGGTCCAGTACCTGTAAACACAAGAGGTAGGTGATATGGGTAGAGTTTACACACACACACACACACACACACACACACATACACACACACAAACACCCTTTTATTTCTTGTGGCAGGGACTCATTACATTGCTTAGGGCCTCACAAAGTTGTTGAGGCTGGCTTTGAACTTGCTATCCTCCTGCCTCAGCCTCCTGAGCCACTGGGATTATAGATATGTGCCATGGCACCGGGCCTACCATTGCTTTTGATTAAACAAAATACTGTAAAGTCATACAGATATAGAGATATGAGGTGTTCCCCCCCCCCATATTGTCTCCTATGTTAATGCAGAAATATTTGGAGGTAAAATGATTTGACGGTGAGAACTTTAACCTGATCAGCCCATCCTAGTTTGAATGGACTAACTGGGCAGTGATCATAGGCAGGGTAGGGCATGGCTAGAGGAAGTGACCGCAAGGGGACATGCTCTGGAGGGGTTCATCTTCCTTGTAGCCCCTTCCCCTTCCTCTCCCTCTGCTTCCTAGCTGTCACGAGGAAAGAGGTTTCTTCTACCACATCCTTTGAGCATGATGTTCTTCCTTACTTTGGGCCCAAAGCCATGAAGTCAGCTGTCTGTAGACTCAGACCTCAAATAAAATTTTCCTCCTCTAAGTTATTCTTGTCAGGTATTTTGATGAAAGCTGACAAAAAGCTAATGGTAGAATCAACTCTGAGAATCAAAATTCATTTTCTTTCCTATTTAAGAGAAAGTGACTAGGGTTTAATAGCTATTGGTTCTTCCAGATAGTCAGGTTTTAAGAAGTGAACTTAGATTGAGAAGTGAGTGAGAACTCTTCACTGTAAGATTCCTGATTCCTTTCCCAAATCTTTTTCATTAGTGGTTATGACCAGTTTCAGTAGTGCACTCACTTCTCTTCAATTCTGTAGATTATGGGGCTTGGATACCACTGAAACAGTAGCTCTAGAATGTCAGGATGGTGATTACAGAATTATACATATTGTGGTCACTCAGCTAACTGGCCATGGCCTTTCCATGAAGGCACTATTTGAGACCCATCTACAGTTAGTATTTAAGTACTAACATGACAGTACTGAGCACCAGCAAGACAGATTTATGTAAGTTCTCTTGCATTTCTTAATAAACCTATGAGTTGAAAATAAAGTTGTTACCACTTTAAAAAAGGGAAACAAAAGACAGGTCAAATAGTTTACCCAACCTCCCTCCACTAGGCTATGGTTACCATGTCATCAATTTAAATCGACTGAATCAAATCTAGGTTAAATAAGGGCCCTTTCAGACGACATAACTTGCCCTTTGAAGTTCCCTATCATGTTGCTGTCCTGTTGTCAAATCAGATTTACACAAGGAATACAGAATAATCTATATGCAATTGCCCATAGGTAGAAATTTCATATTCTTCAAGTTTCAAGAATCAGGAGATAAGAAGGTAACAATGTAGAGGATAAAAACTTGAGGAGTCCTACAGAATGAGATGTAACTGAAAGTCACGTAGGCTGATGCATAATAGGTCTTGGTCTGTAGTTAACTCACAGTTCATTTCATCGGATCCATCCAGACAATCAGCGTGACCATCACAAACTTGCTCCGTGGAAATGCATTTCTCACCATCCTTACAAGATTTTGATGACTCTGAGCATCTGGCAGACTCAAAGCATTTGTTTGCATTGGCCAAGTAGTACCCACTCGGACACTTGCAAGTCTGTCCCTCAGGGTTTGGTAGACAGATATGGCTACATCCTCCGTTGTCATTTGAGCAGCTGTTACTACCTGTGGATCCACCCCACCCCCAAACATATTGAGTTAGATTAGGTTTCAGAAGAATCTGTGGTTAATGAATTGAGCCCACATTGTTGACATTAATCTCTTAATTTTATCTTTTCTTACTTTATTAAACCCATGATCACCCTCCCAAAGTATTCAGTTAGGTATTCCAATTGTGTCTATGAGATAGTAGAGAAAAACACATGATCATTCCCATGTTGAAATTTCATGTATTAGTTAACATGAAAAATAGATACTAGTGTCAATGAATAGAATAAAGACTAGCTCCACGTTTGGGTTAAAGTGGTATTTCAATTATCCTGTTGTTGTTGTAACCCAGTGCACAATAATAAAATTGAAAATAGAACCCAAGTACTATCATTTGGGTCACAAGTGTCCCCTAAATGTTTCTAAGTTAAAGGCCTGGTAAAGGCCAAAATCCACAGTGTGACACTATTGAAAGAGATGGTGGAAATTTTCAGGGGAGTTATTTAGCTTTCTGGAGACATGCCTTTTAAGGAGACTGTGGGACCCTGGTTTCTTCTTCTTCTCTGTTGTCTCCAGGCCACAAAATGAACAGTGTTGCCTTGCCACATGTTCCTGGCCCCGAAGTAATGAGACCAAACCAACCATGGACTGAAACCTCTAAAACTGTAAGCCAAAATAAACCTTTTATCTTTATAAGTTGATTATCTCAGGGATTTGTTATAGCAATGAAAAGCTGACTAACACACTAATTCTACCAGTGCTCAGGCTAGTGAGTTTACTACTTGATTGTGAATACTACATAAGTAATGGGACTAATTATGTACCTTAACCAGTTTGTGTAGAAGTACATAAGGATAAGAGATTTACGCAGGTCTACAGGAATTTGCCATAGAAACATTTTAACATTTAATGGGAAACACAAAGATATTTCCAAGAGATATGGGATGATGGAGTATTCCAAAGTTCAGTAGATTACAGCACTGTCATAGTCACTGCAAGTTTACCTACCTTGTTGACTAAATTTACTGTAAACTTTTAAGTCCACAATCTTCTGGTCTACTTGGAACCACCGATTTTCTAAAACTTCTGTTTTGCTGTACCAAACTTTAGTGATTTGGGCTAGAACAAAATCCAATGAATAATCATTAACAAAAACAAAATTTTATCTTAAGGCAACTTCCTGGGTAAAGAACAAGGTTCAGTATGAATACTTTCATTCATTGGCCTAAACCCCAGTTGAGTAATGACAATTTTACAAAAGAGACACATATTTTTCTAAACCTTATTTCTGGAAGAGAAATAAAAACCATTATATACTTTCCTCCATAATAAAGTTACATGTTTGTAAGCATGACCAGAATATCCATATATGTCCCATATATAGTGAGTGAATATCCATATATAGTGAGGATATGTGGAGGCACATTCAATGCTGGGTCCATGCAATTAATGAGTAATGATTTTAAATACTATTCTAGAACAACATTTCCAGAAATGGCTTATCTGCAACAAGAGTTACCATGGGATCTTAAAATAAGATGGCAAAGGTCTCATGATGTACCTAATTAGATATCGAAGGTCTCACAATGTACTTAATAAATTAGCATCTCTCAAGTAGGAGCTGAAAACTTGTTTTTTTCCTTCCAATTCTGATGTGACTAGCCCAACTAGCCAATGGACTGGCATTTGAAAATATAAAGAGATAAAGATTTATCATAAACAGAATTTTATAGTTTCTTTAGACATGAGTCAGAAATTTATACACCAAAATCTAATATATATAAAAACAATACACTAGAACACTGATTTAGTATAATCCCTTTGAAATAAGAGAAATTCCATGTTAGAATGCTTGTTAATTTACTTAATACTCTCAAGGGTACTTAATCAACCAAGAGAGGTACTGTCTTCATTTTATAGGTAAGGTATTAGAACGACTGATAGCAGGCATACCACCTAGTTCTAATTCCTAGCCCAGTTCTCTGTGTACTATACCATGGCTATAGCTTGGATAAATGTTATCCAAAGGTCCACGTGTTGAGGTGGGATCCTTAGCCTGTAGCTCTACTGGAAGGTGCTAGAACCTGTAGGAGGTGGAGCCTAGTAGAAAGAAGTTATATCATTAGGGGTGTGCCCTAGAGAAGGGGATATTGAGACCCTGGGCCCTCCTCCTCCTCTGTTTCCCCCTCCAAGAGTGAGAAACCTCCTCTACCACATGCTGCTACCATGATGTTCAGGCCCCAAGGCAACAGGGTCAAGTAATCATGGACAGAAACCTAAGAGACCATGAATCAAAATAAACTCCCCTTTTAAGTTGATTATCTCAGGTATTTTGTCTCAGTGATAGAAAATTAACATAACCATGGTATCATCAAAAGCAGAGAGCCTCATATGAAAGTCAGGAATTTCAGGAAGAAAGGAACTAAGCTTATTCATAGGAACAAAAAACAAATAACTAGAAGTTCTCCCCAAGTCACGGAATCACTGTTACAGTATCCTTTTCCAGAGTAGTTTTTCTTCCAAAGGCCAGATACTGCCAAAGACTGGTGCTAAGCCCTAGTAGCAGATACTCTCTGGATATCCAGGAGTAAATTCAGATCACAAAGATAATTGGATGGAGAATCAAGACCTACCATCATCAGTTGTTGTCCAGAACATCATGCCTTGACCAAACGTAAAGAGGTTAAGGCCCTGAATCCCTTGGCGGTCTACTCTGTGTCTAGAGCCATCTTGTTGAATACTTTCTATGAGTCCTCTTCCTAGGAAGAGAGGTTCAGTTAATTTCATTTGGCCCAAACACCCATCCTACATCCTGTAGCTCTATCTGCCATGTCCTGCCTCCCCTCCTGTCTGCCATGCCTTCTCTAAAATCAGGTCTGCTTCATTCATTCCTCTTTAACAGCGATACAACAAGTTACACATGCAGATTTCTTAAGTTCTCAATTTTTATTTCACGAGAGGAACTGCATGACTCTGTGGGCTATGACATGCCACTTAGGACGGGAGAAGATTGTTTAGGATGTGTTGGTAGAAAATGTTCATGCAGAACAAAAAAGCTGATTGAAATTGTGGCTGAAGACAAGAGAGCCAGAACTTCATTATTTCACTCTGGCTTCAAGGTTTAGGGTGCCGTTAACAACTGCTTACCAGTATCAGCCCAGTACAGGCGGGTCCCTGAATCCGAAAAGGCCAATCCCACAGGCACCTGGGATTTCCGCCATAGCATCTTCCTCCTGCTGCCATCCATGGAGGCACATTCAATGCTGGAACCACGCTTCCTATCATCTAGGGAACCCAGGTCCACGAAGCACATGACTGCAGTAGGTGGGTGGAGCACCACAGACACTGGGCGGTAAAGATTTTCACTGAGCAAGACAATAGGATACTGGGCTTTTAAGGAACCTACACTGATACGCGGCTGTTCACTGTCAATCCAATATACGTTTCCACTCAGCCAGTCCACAGCAAGGTCAACCACAGTCCCCTTCACAGAAGTGATTTTCCTCCACGCAAGTGTGCCAGGATCTTTAAGCCTCAGCAGCCTGATATCACCATGATTCAACTCTGAGAGATAGAGAGTTTTTTCCTGGACGATATAATCCATTGATGCAAGCTGGTCCACATTGGTAAAAGGAAGCATTCTATGTTCTGGTAAAGTTCCTTGTCCTGGGAAAGCTTTTAGATTTTTTCAGATACACCTATGGGGGGAAAAAAAATTTAGGACGGTAGAACTGAATTGGTCTAGTCTGACTCTTCATTGATTTTGCATTAACATTAGGATTCCTAAGTTTCAGATTTTCAGATATTCTACCTTCTGAAAGCAGAGAGAAGTTCTTTTGCTCCCTTCCTAGAGCTTCAAGGACTGAAACTTCCTAGAATCTATGTGTTTTGAAGATTTGTACATCTCTTGAATGTCTTCCTCTTTAAATGAGATTCTACTAGTGAATTTCCAAAACCAATCTTCCACCCCAAAATTTCTTTTTTAAAATACCAAAGTTGACAAGTCCTCTGGATGGTAGAGGTTAGGGGTGACTTGTTTGTTATGACTATCTACTCCTATAATAATTTTTTTTTTGTATCAATGATTGAACTCAGGGGCATTCAACTACTGAACCACATCCCCAGCCCAATTTTGAATTTTGTTTAGAGACAGTGTCTCAAAGAATTGCTTAGTGCCTTGCTTTTGCTGAGGCTGGCTTTGAACTCAGATCCTCCTGTCTCAGCCTCTTGAGCCACTGGGATTACAGGCAGGCACCACCACCAGGCTCTCCTCCTGTAACTTAAAACAAGTTTCTTCATTAGATGAGCTTCCTCTCCAGGCTAGAACCTGCTGAGCTGCTTGTATGTAGAGTGTCTCTGCATCATCAACTAGGTCCTTGGACAACTAAGCAAAGGTAAGCCCACTCTCAGATCTCTACCCTCACTGTGTTCTGGTATACTAAGAACTTCTTCAGGGAATTTTAAGTAGGCATGGTCTTCATTCAAGTATTTTGGAATACCTTATTTTGGTCATGATGGCAAGCAGCACATACCGAGTACTGAAATTTAAGTTGTAGGTGAAGAATATTCCAAGGGAAAGGGCCCCTCCCATTGACACCTGTATGTGGAGAATTCAAACACCCACAGTCTGAAACAGTCTGTTTCAGATATGTAAGGAAAAGCTTGGGAACAGTACCTGCATGATAACTGTGGGTAGTACAAGAAACACAAATGCAGACTCCTTGAGTGGGACACAGGTGGTTCCATCATCTGCAAGCAGGAGCCCCACTGGACAATGACAGCTCCCCTTGGATCGTGGGCTCAGAAGGCACAAGTGAGAACATCCAGTGTCCAGACAAGGATTAGAAGACCTGGGCTGTAGCACCTCATGCATTATCTGGAAGAAAATAGCCAGTTGCTGCTATGTATTACTGAATTCTTAAAAACAGAAAAACAACATGAGTAAATTCTTCTCTCACTTGTTTATTTTTATAAATAAATATTTATCTACTTATTTTAAATAAGTAATTTTTTTTCCTAGCCTGGGAAAATAAATTTAGGTTCATGGATGCTAAGTACACACTCTACCACAGAGGTACACTCCAATCCCTAGTTTTTAAATTTTTTTTTTAGTTGTAGATGGACACAATACCTTTATTTATTTATTTTATGTGGTGCTGAGACTTGAGCCCAGTGCCTCACACATGCTAGGCAAGTACTTTGCCACTGAGCTACAGTCCCAGCCCCTAAATTTTGCTTTTTAATCATTATAGATGTATGTCACTGTTTGGTATTTAGGCAGCTCATGTAACTCATACGTACAGCCTTTCTGGGGAGAACTAGGGGAATAACTTAAAGAGCATACTATATACCTTGAGTCCATAGGGCTGTCCAGAACGCTTGATGAGGACAGCCCTGTTCTTGCCTGTCATCTTCTGCACACGCTGCACTGTTCTTGTCTTCATCTCGGACCAGAAGACTTCATCTTCAAACACAGCAACTGAAAAGGGGTTCTTGATTTGTGTTAGCTGCAACATCTAAAATGGTGAAGGTGACTTTTCTAGGGTGAGTTTTACATACGAGACACATGACATTTCAAACAAGCCTAATGTCAAAAGGACACTTACACTAATGCCAGTACCATCTAGGTTGGCAGAGCCAATACAGTGAAATTTGTCATCGGACCAGAATATCTTCCAACTTAACTGGTCGAGGGCTATGCTAGTTGGCCGTCCAAGACCTTGACTGATGAGTATTTTCCTGTCACTGCCATCCATTCCGGCTTGCTCTATTTGAGGTTCTTCTCCAATTTCGGACCAGTACATTAATCTGTGCAAATAAAAGTCAACTTTAAGATAATGTATTGCCTTGCCTTATAGAATATAAAGTCAATGCATTCCTTAAAACACTGTTTTACAGCTCAGTTATTTTTTCCTTCAGCGTTAATTGGGTCCAAGTGCACTTGTGAAATATTAAAGTACACTTTTCCTTGACATTTCATGGTGATTGTTTAGACATCATTAGAGGGTATAGTATCTATCACAACAGTGATACATGAATTCTGAGAGTACATTAGTGCCTAGCCTGGAAATATCCAGGGAACCTGCCAATCTTTCCTTGGCTAAAAAGTAGGATAGTTTCATGGGCATATGCATGTCTTAGACTTCATTCTTAACCATAGGCTATTAGATGCATTGAAAACTACTGCCCATTTCTGGAGGACCATGTTGATAGATTCCTGGTTAAAAGTATTAAAAAGGTAAGAAGGAAGAGAGAGGGTACCCAATCTGGGTTACCTTTGGATCTTATTTCTTGTATCTTTTTCTTATATTTGCTATCCATAAGGCCTCCCAGTGAGGATATGGGAATGTTAACTTTAAATTCTTTGCTTTTGCAGAAGGAAAAAAGATTCTAGATGGAATAAACCAAGCTTGCCAAAAACTCATATTATTGTAAATTTCACATTTTTCTTAGGTTCCACACTTACTCATAATTTTAAAGTCATAAAGGTCCAGAGGTATATATGTCTATTTGAGCAGAAAAAAATATAGGTGAGCCACTGAGCGAACAATACTTTTATCTCATTTTACTGAAATTAGATCTTTTTCCAGAGTTTCTAAGATTACTTTTGTATAGCTGACCCATATCACTATAGATCTAAAGTTTAGTAAGTTTTCCATTCATTCTGTGATAGGGAACACAAACAACCTAGAACTAAGGAGGAATAACCAATTTCTAGGTCTTGACCAGTCATTCTGACACCTGGACTCACCCATTTAGGGGATCCAATGCCAAAGATTGGGGCTGAGTCAAGTCATCATCCAGGACAATTGTATACTCAGATTTCCCTCTCCAAATGGCAGTCAACTGAATGGCTAAAATCTGACCAGCTGTCCCATCAGTCCAGTAGAGATTCCTCCCAATCCAGTCGACCATTAGACAGTTTGACTTTATACCTGAAGAGAAGAAATAATTTAACATGAGTACACTGTTGAGTGGCAACTTTTACTAGGTTTGAGTTCAAGGGTTCTGGAATTGTACACCATGTTAATTAATTTTCCATCTCCTATATGCATCTCCAACGCAGCAAATCTTTAAAATTCTCCCCCCTCCTATAGTAGATGACCATTAGAGATAATGGTCACCAGCTGATATTTTTACAGACCCTCATGACTACTGAGAACACCATGCACCTTTCCATTTCCTACCAACTAGCAAGCCTTGGCCTCTTTTAGCAAAAGAAATATGATCAAATTCATGTTTTGAATGTAAACAGCCACTCGTTTTATTTTTTATGCAATGTGTATTTGATAAGCATGGAATGGAAGCCTTAAAGGGTGCAATACCTTTTACCACGGTCCCTTTCTTTTTAGTGTCCATACTTATCCACTTTATACTTTCTGCATTGAGATCTGCCCAGAAGACTTTTTGATCCACTAAATCATAGTCAACAGAGAAAATAATCAGGTTCTTGTCTGTGGTTGCAAGAATATCTTCTTTCAAGCTTCTCAGTCCATAGAGGAATAGGTTAAACTGAATTGCAACAAGCAGGACTGGTTCAGCACCTGTCAAATAAGAATTGCTTTCAACAGTCATAAAGGAATTTGAACAGTAAAAGCCAGCACTGACTAATGAATTAAAGGACAAAGTAGTCTCTTGCCTTCTCACTGACAGGGCTAAGATGCCAACAAGATGAGTAGTTCTTCATGATGTAATGGTTAGAATAATAACCATAGTTAAAGATACTTAGAAATTTTTTTTCCATTTTAATTCTCTTCTAACTAAGTATTTGGGAGCAGGCAGACCAGAAAAAATATGCTCGACTGTACAGGTAAGGTTGAGCCATGGTTACAAATGCCAGAATTATGGTTCTGTTACAGTGACATCTTATTAGCAGGTAGTTTCAGATTAATTCAGTGTGAAATGCAAGGTTTGAAGGGATAACTGTGGGGAGGTTCTTGGCTCTTTTTTTGAAGAAAAACAAGCAGGAGCATTTAGGATATAAGAAAGACAGATTTACATTGGGATTCCTGGAAGATTTAGGAACTCAAAGCTCACAATCCAGGGCTCTGAAAATATGTGCAGCTCCAGTGTACCTGTCGCTTTGCAGGTATGGCCATCAGGCTCCAGCAAGTAGCCAGGACGACAGGTACAGATGTAGGAGCCCTGGGTATTGACACAGGTCTGACTACAAGGCCTACTACCCGACTCCTGGCACTCATTCACATCCTGGCAGATCCGACCACGGCTCTCCAGCTGAAAGCCTTGCTCACAAGCACATATCTGAAAGAGACAAGAAGACATTAAAAATTTCTGAAGACAGAACAACATTGACAAAATGGCATCAACCTTGGAATGAAATGTGTACGGGGCTGTGTTGAATTCTGACAACTCAAACTGTTCTAAGAACCAACTTTATATTTAATATAGTCAATTCTCTTTGCCTTATCAACCATGCCACACCCCTTATACCCTTTTTACCATCATGGGTCCAAGTTCAGCCCAGGACACCCAGAGCCTAAGCAGGATCACTGCCGGGAGGGGCATGCAGACTTATCTAGCTGGCTGTCTACCAACAAAGATGCCAGTACAACCCGATACCAGAACAGTTTTTCCCCGACTTGTCCATTAGAATCAAGTTCACTGTGTTCTGCCAACCAACAATACTAACTAGAGCCCAGACAGTTCACCATTTAAGGGCAGGTCAGATTCCAAATACTCACATGGATGCAACTGTTTAGAAGCAGGTAGACAATTTCCTGCAGCATGAGGGGACTGTTTGGCTCTTAGGACAATCCACAACAGTTCTCACTTAGCCCTCCATGTCATTTAGAGCTCAGATGGTCATAGTTTCTACAAGCTGAGTGGCAAGGTTCCAGGAGATTCGAGATAGGAAAGGAGCTAAAAAAAAGTCTCACCGGGAGCCAGAAGGCTCAGGCAGATCAGTGGATGGTCAAGACAGCTCTGCTATGTAAGACTTAAGAGGTCAAGGAGCACTCAGGGACAACCTGAACGAGACCACTGCCTACTTTCCCTAGACCAAGTTTATAGCTGCTAAAGAACAGAAGCAACTCACAGGCCCGGCTGGGGACGGGTAGCAGGTGTGGGAGCACTGTCCTGGGCTGCAGGCTGCCAGCGAGCACACTCCACCTTCATCAGAGCCATCAGAACAGTCTTCCTTCCCATCACACACCTCGCTGAGGCTCAGGCAGGCATCGGTGCCGCACCGGAACTCAGAACCCAGGCACTTCTGAGGGGGGCCTGCAAGGGATGGCTTCTTACTTAAGAGTTGTTTTCTGGCCCCCAGGGATCCCTCCCTCAGCATGGTCTCCCTGTGTATAATCAAGATGCCTCCGTTTGAGGAACAGATTTCTGGTTCTGTAGCATGTGCTTGTGAGCTGGTTGCTCATTCCCACAGTTAGCCACCAGCGAGGGGAGCCCTTGAAAGCCAATGACCTCTGCACCCCTGTCCCGCCCACATGGAGGGCTCCCTTTACTTACATCCAGCCTCGTCACTGCCGTCCCTGCAGTCACTGTGCCCGTCACAGTGCCAGGAGTCAGGCACACACTGGTCTCTACTGGCACAGCTCCACTGGGTCGGGCCACACTGAAGCACCTCAGGGTCACAGTCCTGAGGAGACAGAGATGTAGTCAGCAGCTCCGGCATCCAGAGCCCAGAAAGGGAGCTTGGGGGAAGGAGGCTTGGGTTAGGAGACTGCTCTCAAGCCCGCACTTTAAGGAGGCCAGATGGAGTCCAAAATCTCAGAAGTGACATGAATTATGAGAAAGTCTTTCTGTAGCTGGAGTTTAGGATATCAAGTAGTGGGAAGCAACGTCTAATTTTTGACACACAGACCGATTGGGAAGCCTTCATTTAATTTAAGAAACAGCAAAAGAATTGTTCTAGAAACACTGATGCAGAATTCTGCCTGCCCTGGGTAACACATACCCCAGCAAATTAACACTGAGCGTATTTTGCACCTACACTGACTTGGGTACTCGAAGGGAGAGGGACATCTATGCACTTGCTAGTCCCTGGAGCCTTTAGATACATTCTCAGCCCCTCTGGCAGGACAAGATGTATCCTAAATCCACAGTTTCTGACGAGGAAATCGAACACTTAGCAATAAATAAGTCCTTGTTGAGGTCACATGCAAGCAGTAGAATTTGAGTCCAAGCTGCATCTATACCATGCTGGAGCTTTAGTAAAATTCATAGTGACAATTAAGTAGAGCTAGTGACAGGGTTGTTCAGTCCTTCAGACCACATATCTAGGTAGGACATTTATGTCATGGTTATCACATGCTACCACTTGCAAATCTCCTACAACACAAATATGCCTCTTGAAAGCATGGATTTCAACAGCCTCCTGTTAACATTTGGGACACTTTGATGTAGCTAGGAGTGGCTTTTTGGGGAGTGATTATGGTGACTTCTCTGGTCTTGCATTTTCCCAAATTTTCCACAGAAATCATGTACTATGCTGTGATTAGAAATCCACAGTTGGCCCTCCGTATCTATGGGTTCTTTGTCCATGGATTCCACTAACCCAGACCCAAAATATTTGCAAAAGAAATAGTGTTTGTACTAAATATATACATTTTTCCTTGATATTATTCCTTACACAATAAACTATAACAACTATTTATATAACATTTAACTTTGCATTAGGTATTATAATTAATCTAGAAATGATCTAAAGAATCTTGCAGGATGTGCTCAGGTTATAAGTAAATACTATACCATTTTATATAAGGAACTTGAGCCTCTGTGAATATTTGAATGTCTATGAGGCGGTCTTGGAGCCAATCCCCCCACAGATTCTGATGGGTGACTAAACTCCCCTTTTCCTGAAAGAAGAGTGTCCTACCTTCTCATCACTTCCATCTTTGCAATCCAGGTCATGGTCACATATCCACTCTGCCAGCACACATTCTCCACTCCTCCTGCACTTCACCTCCCCTGGTGGGCACCACAGGGGCCAGGCAACAGGACAGTCTTCTTCATCTGAGTGGTCCAGGCAGTCTCGGTTCCCATCACAATGCAGAGAGAAAGTGATGAACTGGCCATTCTCACATCTAAATTCAGATGGGCTGCATTTCTCATGAACTGAAAAAATAAAAGCTTTAGGTGAGAACTAAACCACATATGAAGCAATTCAATGACAAATAAAATGGCTAGAAGGTCCCTCAGTTTAGTGCTAACACTTCATTTTAGGAACTAGCCCAAGCAAGTGTTAGAGCAGGAAGGTGGTTCTAGTCCAAAGTTGGGTCAGAAAGGGCCTAATAAGGAGCTGAAGCCCCAACCAGAAGATACCCTGAAAATCTGCTATTTGTCCTAGAAATCAAGGGCTGAGGGACAGGGGTGGGAGGATGTGTAGGACACTGGGATAGGCAGAGAGTAAGGACACCTCTCTGAGTCCTTTATTTATCTATCAAAAAAAAAAAAAAACCCTTCCACAACATTCAAAATATTCTATAATTTACATTCTTAAACTCAATACGTATACATAGATGTTACTTGATAAACATCTAAGAGAAAGAATCAAGCCTAGGAAAAACTATAATAGCTGTTAAAAAGTAAATCATACCTTGAGTATGATTTACCTTCCTTCCTGTATCTCGTACCTCCTGATATTGTCACGGATCCAAATGCAGTCATAGCCTCTGGCTATGCAGTCACCTCCACATTCAAATCTATCATGGTACCTGTTATGGTTGGGATCTGGAACTTCGTCTGAAAAGTTCACGTATTGGAAGCATAACAAGGTGCAGAGATGGAGCTTTCAGAAATAATTAGGTCTCTGACCTCTTCAGTGGAATAATTAATTTGTAGATAATTCACTGATAGCTGAATGGACTACTGGGTGATGACTAAAGGTGGGTGGGGTGTGGTTAGAGGTGTGACCTGGCCCCTT